AGAACGCTGGTCTAGGAAGCCAAGAGCATGGATTAGACCCCCACTACCTCAGGGTCGGTGGGGGGAACACACAAATCTGATGCTTGGCAGCAGCAACAAGTGGACTGAGCCAACACAACCAGTCTGCATCCTGTTAAAGAAAGGGGGCAGTTTAAAGCACCATGCCTCTCAACAACCCCTCCTTGCCATTCCCCAAACCCTAGCCAAGTTAAGGGAATGAGAAAGCCTGGCGAGACATCCAGGTACTCAGCATCTTGAAGAACACTGGCTACCTCTCCTGCCCACTGGCTGTGCATCAGTGCAAAAAGTCAACACGAGGCATCTATCCCACAGCCGCAGCATGCAAGCAGAGTCCCTGAGTCTGCACCTAAATCTCCAGTCACCATGTCTGCAGGGGTCACAGTGTTCTGGTTCTAAGAAGCAAAACCCAGGTCCAGATGCGAGGGCTGGGAAAGAGACCATACAGAGCTCAGAAGGCCGACTCTCCCTGTTAGGCAAAGTCAGCAACTTCTTCTTCACTCTCTGACTGAGGAGAGAACATAATGCTAAATGCGAACTTAAGGGTGGTTTTAATTTCCTCCCAAGTGCTTATGTGACAGTAGATTTATAAAACTAATATTTAGGCAGTTAAAGAGCCAAAGATTCTTAAGAACATCATCATGACATTGAAGACTCCTTCAAGAAAAAAAACTGTTCATTCTTATGACAGTGCCCCATTCTGCAGATGGAATTTAAAGTCTAAAATAAGCAAACACACACCATTTCTTTTAAACTACTGTTTAATCAGTTTTAAAGACACACAAATTAAAACATGTACATTCAACACACCTTCAAACCCAGCAGTAAGCCACCAGAAGAGCTCTGGGGACACAGGTCAGGAACAAGTGGTAAGAACTCAAGACACCACATTGAACTGACAGTGGTGGTTGCAACTCACTGTACAACAAGAACTGACTTATGGATCTGTTGAAAAATAACACTTCTTTAAAAAAATATTTTTGGATAATAAAAACAAGCAGCACAGAACACCACATAGCATTCTTGCCTGGGAAGGGGAGAAAACACTGCTGACCGTGGCTGCTGCAGCCATACTCCCCTCACAATCCAGTAACAGAAACTCAGCAACTTCCAGGCAGAGGTCTCTGAAGGGAGGGCAGGATGAATCACACACCTCCCTGTGTGGGACACAACCCCTTGTTTTACCTCAAGTATTTTTACCTCCTTCCCTCTGCCTTATATTACGCCCCTTCTGGTTTGAGAGGCAATCCCGTAAAGGTGACAGAAGACGGACAAGAATGGTTTGGAACATAGTGTTCAACATTTTTTTTTTCCTTGTGATAAAAAGTCAGTAGCAAATGTACTTCATTGACAAATCCAACTAAAAATACTTAAATTGGGAAAGAAGCATATTTAAAATGCCTCAGTACTTAAGTTTGTCCTTTCCTGGGAAGGGACGATAAAGGAATATTAACAAATCAATTTCTCAAAGAAAATCCAAACTATAGCTGGAAACAGTAAACAGCAGCCACTTTTTCCACTTCAAACATGCTATTAAGAAATTGGTTAGTCATTTTGCTTATGTTGCTCTGTAACTTTCTGTTTTTCATTATATTTTTGTTTCTTTTTATAGTTGCAAAATTTGATAAAACATGGCTGGAGAGATGGCTGTGTACCACTGGTAAGTGTCAGACAGCAGTTTTACATGGATCTTTATAGAACACAGAGTCTTGGGTTTGTTTTTCTTTTTGCTTTATAAAAGTCATACTAAAAGAAGAGTTATATAATCAGTTTTAAAGGCAAGACAATTTAGTTGGCATAAAAATGTATCTTTACTTTTGGTTCACAAAATTTTCCCAATCAATGACCTGAAGCTTGTCAGTTCTTTACTGGGGTTTAACTTTATGTTAAAAACCTATTAAAATAAATATTATTTTAAAACATATAAAATACTATTAAGCAGCCTATCAATTAAAATGCAAGTGGCTGCATCCTCTGTACAACAAGAGCCTCAAAAAGCAGCTTAATCACTGATTAGAAGTGCATTCCTACAAAATATCAATGTGGAAAATTTCATTTTAAATTTTCTTCTGTAAGGAGAATTACTATAAATAGAATTGACTACATGGTGTTGCAGAAAAACACTGCAGAGACCCTTTACATTCTAATCCTTCAAACTCAAATTTCAGTGTGGATTTATTATTATTTTTTTAAATGCAATCTGTTCCTTCAACCACAGTGGTACAAACCCACTTTTATTAGCAGAAATTTAGCATCCAAAGAAAGAACATGATGATCAACTACTCATTGGGTGCCTCTGGGTCAAGTGCAACAGGTGTGTAAGGGCCTCGAGGGTAGTTAAGATTGCATTCACAGTGTTATTCAGAATCCTGCACCTATGTTAAATTTGATGCATTAAATTTCAGCAGAATGGACTATTAATGTCTGACTAACCCTCAAAATACTGACCGATATCTAGAAGTTTGGACAAATCCTTAGCTGACAGCAATACAGGTACCATTTTGAGATAATCATTATTATCTCAAATTAATATCAAAAATTACTCTCAAGTAATTTTTTTTCAATCTTATGTAGAACTCATAAAACCAATTATCCAATAATTATGAATTAGGAAACAAAGTATAAATGTCCAATTTGTTCAAGAATATGCAAATTAAATATTTAAAAGGTATGAATTTTAAACAGGAAATGTTTGTCCTAAAGTCAACAAATAAAGAATGACTTATATAATCATTTTAATGGCATAAATTTTAATTATTTTCTGTAGTTTAAAATAAAGCGGTAAAGGGGGATCACAAATTCAAGAAAAGTCTCAGCAAAGGACTGGGTTCAATCCCCAGTACCAAAAATAAAAAATAAATGTTTTCTTCAATAGAGACCATTTCACTATGAAAGTCATTTTTAAGGGCTATGTTCAGTAGAAATAGTATATTGCCACACCTTCTGATCTAATGGATTGTTTGCCCTCTGAGCTGGGCAAGGTGGCACACTCCTATAATCCCAGTGACTGAAGAGGCTGAGGCAGGAGGATCAAAAGGAGGGCTAGGGATGTAGTTCAGTGGTAAAGCGCTCCTGGGTCCAACCCCCAGTACCAAAGGCAAAACAAAATAAAATTTAAAAGATCCAAACCACAACTAAAACAATCAAACAACAACTAAAAAGGTTTTCTTCTGGCCAGGTGCAGTGGTGCACACTTATGATCCCACTGATTCAAGAGGCTGAGACAGAAGAATCAGAAGTTCAAGGCCAGCCTCAGTAAACCAGTGAGTCCCTGCCTAAAAACAAAAATAAAACAGTTGGAGGGTGTGGTAGAGCATCCCTGGGTTCAATTCCCAGTACCACACACACATACACACTCACAAATACTCTGTTGCTATGACAACCTTAAAAAAAGTCATGGCTTTGAGTGTCAGTAATGAAAATCAGCAACCACAATAGTTCTCCTTGTGAATCTGCCCATGCCCTTGCACTTGGCTCCCCTTCTGGGTCCTCGTTCCTCTCCCTTGCAAGGGAAGGGAGAATGAGCGCTAGAGAACAGGCACTCAACAGGCAGAGCCAGACAGTCCAGTTCCTCCTCCAGGTCAGGCAGTGCTCACAGGAGGAGCTCCCTTTACCTCCAGAAACCACCTTTCACTGCAAAAGTTTCTCAAAAGCGGTGTGTATATAAGTCCCTGTGTGAGTGTCAACATGGTGGGGACCAACGGCAACATGTTAAACAAGTGGAAGGTGGAGGCTGATAGGAGAAGTGGTGGCTGGACATTTTTGAAGCCAAATAAATCTTGTCTATTACTCTGGATATTTCAGAAGCTAAATAAACATCCCCTATTACCCTGAGTTCCAGCAAAAATGCTAATTTTAAAACCAGAATGAGCCACTTATAAAATGATGACAGTTGAGACACGTCAAAGTAACTATTATTGTTTCAAGAAAATGAAATTGAGGGAAGAATAATTATTTTTGTTCAGTTTTTTTCCCTGAGTAGTATGTAATTAACCAGAAGTATAAATATGATGTTGACTGATCATCTCTGGTGTGGTTTCATGATATCTGAAGAGTGGGAAAATAATATAAATATACACTGAATCCTATTCTGCTGCTGAAGGAAAAAAAAAAAAAAGCAAGCACACATCACAATGAACCCCTTTATACTTGAAAGCAGTAGAGATATGCTAGATTTTAATTCTTCTACCATAGGTAGAAGCAAAAAATTAATCTTCACATCATTCCAAAGAGAATATTCATTTTGTAAAACTTGGAGAAAAATCAAGGTGAAAATTAGAATCCTAGTTTTTCTTTTAGATTGCATATTTGTGATTATTTCTCCAAATCAGATGAGAGGTATTCAAAAAACATTTAATAAAAAGCACTAGTAGATTCAGGGGGGTAAAAATTAGCCCACCAGGACAGCTCAGTGCCATCCTGGTCGGAATCCAGGAGCCAGCCCAACACTTTGCTCTTTGCAGACAGAGCTGCAGTTAGATGTTCAGTCAGCAAAAAGCAGGGGTCATGATGTGGGCTAAAGCTGAGAGATGAAATATACTCGGGCAACAGAAATAAATGGTGACTCTCTGTAAGTAGCTGGATAGAGAGAACCAAGAAAACAAAAAACACAGAAGTTTTTGCAGAGCTTTCTGGTTACTCTACATTTGTTTACTTTCTCTTAACAGTGAGCAGATTCTCTGCAGTATTGATTAAACTGAGAAAATGTTTTAAGAGGAGACACTTTCCATGAACATTCCTTTTTAACTCACATTATGCAGCTAGCTTAATTTCAATGCACGGGAAAACAGACAAAAGTTACTTAGCTATCTACCCTGGCCTGGGAGGAAGAAGTGGGGTTTACCTCATCAAAGAGAAAAACATAAGCCTTTAGAAAAGCAAGTGTGTTTCTAAAAGTTCTAAGACAATACACTGACTTTTTGAGACCACAGAAGTTCCAAGTGCATTGACTTTTCATTTCTTTACATGAAATACTACAGAGCTTATGTCAGATTTTTGTTTTGTCTTTACTTCATTTATAAGTTTATTAGTGATCAGAAAAAGAGACTCATCATAGACATATAATTTCATTTCATAAAAATTTAAGGCAAAAAGAAAAGTTCCACCAAAGATTGGTCAAGCAACGGTGAGGTTGGAAGGCCTCGTCTGCCTTCCCTGCCACAGGGTGACCGACCATCTGTGGCTGGGCCCAGCTGTACCACCTGGCCTCCAGTCCCAGCTCCTGCTCTTGCTACTGCAGCCAGCACAATACTCTGCAGACTAAAGGAGATGCCCAGGAATTCAAGGCAAGATTATTCATGGTAGAAATGGCCCATAAGAAGAAATCACAGTTTTCTTCTTACAGAATCTAAAACTCATCTTAGCAGGAGTTAACAACAAAATTTTAATGTGAGAAATTTAAAAGCATCTGGAAACTAATTTCTATTAGTCTCAAAAATGTCATTCAGTCTCCATGTCTTTTAAGTTTTTGATTCCCTAAAACTTTTCCACATAGGAATTAAAGTGACAAGGATAGGAAATTGATTAGCCAGACAGAACCCTAATTACTAGAGACTTCTTTCAAAAAAAGCAGTCTATCACTGTTACTCTCATTATCTCTTCTAATTCTATATAATTTATGCTTGATAAATTTCACTTGACAAAGTATTACCCAGTTTTTAAACTTTTATGTCTTAGACAGTCACACAGAACCCCATGCAGAAAGGGGGAACTGTTTCTAGCTCCAAGTCTCACAGAGCTTTTTTCATTCCTACTTTCCTGCCTCATTTTCTCTTTTTTAAGAAAATAAGCTTAAAATATCACATTACCAACCTTTAATTATGTTTAAGAAGTTCCTCCTGGAAGGACTCTCTGACTAACACAAGATAATTAAGCTCTCCAGCAAAATAAGCTACCTATAATTTGGCATCCATTACTGTTACAGTTTCACTATGCACTGTAGTCATTTGAGATACTTTAAGAAAACCCTTCAAATACTGAGATGTTTATTGCATTTTAAAAGTATCTACCATCTTAAATATCCTGTTTCAAATTCCTTCTAAATTCCTTTACATTATACAACATCAAATATTGAAATAATCTTCTCATACTATTACACTTGAAAATACCATTTAGGAACAATATTTTAGGAAATAGAGGGTTTAAGGCAAGACATTCATTTGGAAAAGTTAACCCCCTCAATCATTCAGACGGACACGATAAGTTTCCCACCTCTGCAGTGCCTTGGGGTACACAACATACATTCGGCAACAGGGCACACATATGACCTTGTGGGCATATGCTGAGGTTGGAATGCCCCATGAAATAGGAAAATATTTTTATATAAGGCGTGGCCCATAGGGACATGGCATGGGAGGGCTGCTTCTTTCCTTTTCCACTCTGGTTTACAGGAAATTCCCTACCTATAGCTGTCCCATTTCCCCCTGTTAATCTCTTTTCAAACAAACACAAACCCCTTGTGAAGGTGCTAAGACTGGTTTCTGTGAACACAAGAAAGGCAGTCAGCAGGAAGGCCTCCCCATCACTGCCTTGAGGAAGGTGGTCTAGAGGCTTTTGCTTGGTTCTGATTGCAAATGCTGTTTGTTGTGGGGAAACTGTCCTCTCCCAAAGAATTTTCTCTTTCGTCAACCTTTCTGGACTGTGAGAGCTGATGGTTTTCATGTATATTCTTTCCTTTTTGAGTCTTTTTCACTGGCAACAACCATAATACTAAGATACTACAGACGTGAAGGCAGTAATACCAGGAGCTAAAAGAAAAAGGAAAAGTTAGTTGCATTAAATTTGGACACTAGTAATCCTTCACTGCACCCTGCAGACACCTGCGTCACTGCTCCCTCCCCTTCAAGGTGGACCTCCACACTGCGGCCCAGGGTCTCTACAGAGCTCTGCTCCCATGAGCATGAGAGTAGATTACACAGCTTGGAACAGGACAAGAAGAAAGGTACTTATTAACAGTGGTATGATCTGAAAATAATCTCTTCAATCCAGAGACTCTAATTCTGAGTCACCAAAGAGACAATAAGGACATCAGAGCCTGGCTTGGCCATGCCCCCTGCTGTCCACTGTCTCTCCCTGAGTCACAGGGATTCTGAGGAGGAAAGCAACAGATAAGCAACAGTGCCTGACGGTGACTTCCACACGTAAAGAAAGGCCATGTTATTTAAGATACTCAGAAACATTATTCCCCAAATCAAATATAAACCAAATGTGACCTCAACTGCTCTATAATAGTTGGAAGTTCAAGTGATTGAGAGAAGTACCTGAGATGCATCGAATAGCCCAATTCACTGCATTTTAAAGTAAGAAATGATTCTGTTAAAGTAGAAATGTCTTTCTGTATGTATGATTTTTGTAATATTGTATTTGACAATTTTCCAGCTGCACATTCTGTTCTAAGTCACTCTAAAGTCTAAAGAATTTATGAAAGGATCAAGTTTTGATCTCTAAGCTATCACTATTATGGGGGAGTGGAATTAGATGGGGCAAGGGGAGGAGATAAACAAATAAACAAAAAACATGAAATTCAAGTTAACAATTTCTAATAATACAGTGATGACCATAGTACTAATGAAACAAAAGAGTGAAAAGAAACAAATAAGTAAAAATCTAAGTAACTTATTTTCCTTTGATTAAAGAAACCAAGATAATCAATCATTCTTTGTAAAGACCCAACTTTTTTCCCAACCAGGTTCTGGACAATCAGGCCAAGAGGTTTCCAGTTCAACATCCCTGAAAGCTAAGGCAGCAGTTACCAGCTGGCATTTCCCTCACCTTCACGAATGTGAGCCATCCCATGAAGATTTGAGATTGCTTGGTTCAGGATTAAGAAGTAACTGTCATGCTTCTACCAGCAGAAAATGAGGTACAGTACTATTTTCATATCCCATGCAATAGCAAGGAACTTTCTTTCCTGACAAATCTTACAAGTAACACTTACCTGTAAAACGTGAATGATGGTTTTATAGAAAGAAGCACAAATGGCACAACTGTATAACTTATTGCTATTTGAGTTACTGCCCATGTTATGATGTCATAAAATAATTTAAGTTGGGGAGTTTTGAGGAAATAATGTCTAAAGTTGTTTCTCATCTGAAATAGAAAATAAACAAAAAACACTTACTATATCTTTAAATTAACATTACTTACACAATTATACTGGCAATGACTATATCAAGAATGTTGAACTTGCAAGCAGCTGGCCATGAGTCTAAAATGATACTACCACTGTGAGAAAAGCTGGTTCTGAAAAATTGAACACACTTGGGCGTAAGCCGTGGAGGTGGGAAAGAAGGCATCCAGGCGAGACATGAACTCATGGATCTGGGCCTAGGGCCTACAGGAGCTCTGTGCAACTTCTTAGTTGATCTGAAGTTGCATTAAAATGAAAAATTTCCCCAAAGAGTTAAAAACAATACTACGCAAAGCTCCTTAACTGGTACTTGGGAAAGGACAGAATATAAACAAGAGTTCAACCTATCTTCAGTTTCTCCTGCCACTATGAAAGGTACATTCGTCACCTCTCTCTTTAACCTCTACACATGTGAACAAATAGATCCCATGCACTGAGCTCAGGTTAAACAGCACTCACCAGAAACAAACAGCAACCACACACATCACTCACAAATAGAAGCCGGAAGAGCCTCTCAAAAAACTGGTGTTTTCTAATCTTCACTATTTTGATGACTTTTTAAAGTTTTCAAGGTAGTGAAAACATCTCAACCTTTTCAACCCAGTCATGGTGCTGTCTCTTCTCCTGCATTTCTCACTCTTCTCGTCTAGTATGTTTATGGGACGCACAGCCCTGTTCTCCAGATGCCGTCTTACTCCTTTAGAGTGGAGCTGGCACATGAGAAATGGTTCTTCCACAAAAAGACCATCATTCTTAGTGGCCAAAACCAAATCCTGCCTGTGACTTCTTGCCTAGCTTACCAGCGGGATACCTATTATCTAGTCCACTCTGCCCATTAATGACAAACCCATTTCTTCACGTATGGTGGTCAGTATTCTTACAAACCTTACCCAGCTGGGGAGCTGGCTCCCTGGCAGAGTGCTTGCCAAGCATTTGCAAGGCATTAAGTATAATACCCAGCACTGCAAAAATAAAGATAAAAAACCGACAATGAAAAGCAAACCTTATCTTAACTACCTAATATTGCAAACGGAACAGGCTTAGGCTCTTCCCCAGTTTGATATTCAAGTTCTCCCATTATTGCTCTCCTCCTCTCCCCTCTGTACCTATCCAGAATTATCCACTGTTTATGAATACAATTCTCCTCTTCAATTAGATTTAGTTATTGTTCTCCAAATTATAGCATGACATTAACAAAAACCACAGTTTTGTTAATGTCATTCCATGCCTAGAATAACATTTTCTCCCCCATATCTCCCCCACATCTCACTCAGTATTGAAATAATATTTTCCTTGTTTTGGCCCTGACGTGTGATCTCCCTGCCTCAGCCTCCTGAGTTGCTGGGATGACAGGTATCCGCCACCATGCCCAGCTCTACCTTTCATCTTTCAAAGCCCAGACTAAATGCTTTGGATCTCAATGAAGAAATATTTCTTTCATCTCTGATACTTACCATCTTAAAAAAAAACATGGAGTCTATCATACATGCCTCGGGAAACATGCATTGGTATGTGCATATAACCACTCACAGCGTACACACACTCGATACCCGATTTCACCAAACTATCAAAGGCACAGCCTTTAGCTTCCTGACTTCCCTCGTACACCATCATGCTACCTTCAAACTTAACAGTAAACACTTGCTGTTTGTTAAATGAAGCCACCTTACCTCTGAGTGCTACCACAGCTACTTCAAAGGTCAGTTTTGTCACATGGCTTTCCTCTGACTCTCAAGGACGTAACACTAATTCATCTTTCTCCTTTCCTCTACATGTCTTGACCGTTTCACGTAACACTGCTCTAGGATCCAACAAGGCAAACTGCTGTAGAGGAGACTCCAAGCTCCTAAGTGGACCCTCTGCTGGGCATGCCCAGCACGCTCCTCAGGCTGACCCTTACTCGGCTCTCCACCTCAAGTGACTCAAAGGTCTCGGCTTTCAGAAAGCACTTCTGAAACAAACCTATCATTCTGATCATGTTTATTTAACTATTTTCTCTTTCCCTCAGAAAATTCTGTAAAAATAAATATAATATGTGAGTGCCTCCTGTGTGCTTCTCAGGTAAAGCAGTGAAGGCCATGTGCAGGGAGACTCGCTACGTATGTGGGCTCCACTGCAGAGGATTGTGCTAATCAAGGCTAAAGAAGTAGGGTCACTGAATTATAATTAAAATTCTTGATACTTACAGCTCGTGCTGCTAATGTCATCAATACCCCTGTTAAAAAGGTCAGGTAGTATCCTGGGTATACCCCATGCCAAATGGCAGAGAGAAAGAAAGTCTGGATGGTTGGACTGATGGAGGCCCGTTCATAACACACCCTAAAAACCACAAAAAACACAGAGAACCAAGAGGAGTGAGTGGATCCAAGCTTACCAACCCTACACTGATCATTCTCTCATTACCTGGCAGGATTTTAGTAGCCAGAAGAACAAATACTATCTATCTTGGGTAATAACTTGGTCTGGAATCTAAGGGATGTTACGGTTATTAAGTATCAAATTTAGAAACAAATTCAATTCCTACTTTCCCACAACTACTAAATTATCATTTCTACTATTTGGGAGTCTCTAAAATTTACCAGAAATTTAAAATTAATATTAAAGTTAGAGGTTTTATTCTACATATATTTTTTTCTTTGTCTCCCCTCCTCCCCTTTTTTGATGGCACTGGGGACTGAACCCAAGGCTTCTTTCCGCCATGTGATCTACCTCTGAGCTATATCCCAGCCCTTTTTGGTTTGTTTTTGCTTTTTACTTTGAGACAGGGTCTCACTGAGCTGCTCAGGCTGGCCTTGAGCTTGGGGTCAAGGAGTAGGATCCCAGCCATGAGCGATTTTATTGCTTTCGTTAAAAACACTCAAAACTTTCAATTGAACATGATTCTTTCTGGTAAATTAAATAGGCTATGCTTAGTCTGAAATTCTCCTATAATAGGGCATATAATTCAGATGGAAATGAGCTTTTACTAAGGTATCAAATTTAGAATTAAATACATAAGTATAAATATATAAATAACAACAATAACATCAAACAGATGAGTTCAGAGAATCCAACACTGCTGGGGGCCTGGCTGGGATCAGGAAGGCATGGTAAAAATGAGGTATCCCAAGGGGTAAGATATTCAACTGTCTTAAAGAAACAATACAAAGGTAGGCGACTTTGAGCCCTCTCTGAACAGGAACAATACTTTAAGAATAAATTCAAGACTGAGCAGGTGCCTGTGGACACTGGAGAGAGAACCTGGGTGTTCTGGTGTCATCCTAGACTGGACAGGCCCTGCTCTGCCCAGGGCTGGTGCCCTCCCCTTCCGGGCCCCACATCCTAACTGACATCCTGGCTCAGGATTCTGAGAAATGTCCCCTTCTTTCCCTGCGTGCCATGCTGCTCCTGCTCTCTCACAATAACCCCCACAGGGATCAGCAGGTGCCTGGTCCACTGCTGTGCTCTGAGACCTCTGGGGGGACTGGCCTATCTTTGGGCCTGTGCCTAAAACATAAAGATCTGTCAGACTGGAATATTCAAACTGGAACTGTTCCAGAAAACCTGCAGCACATGTAGAGTGGATATGCACAGAGTTTCTTTAAAATCACATCTTGGGCTTGGGATATAGCTCAGTTGGTAGAATGCTTGCCTCCCAGGCCCACGCCATGGGTTCAATCCCCAGCATCAAAAATCCCAAACCAAAAAAACCACTCCACATCTCTGGGGATGGCAGCAGAGGCACTGAGGACTCGGGCAGAGGAGCAGAAAACTGGCTGAGGAGGTGGTGATAGAGAACTGTAACTCAGGCCCAACTGTCCTGATCAGGTGGGTGCTAACAGTCTTTCCTAGGTTAATGCCAAAGCCACAATGTCACTTAACACCCTATGAATTTCATTAAGAACATGAATTCGATGAAGTTCAACTTCAAGTACTAGATGCCAAAATATATCTAAAAACGTTCTTGAAGAAACATACCTTTTGAGCCAAAGAGCTGTCTGGATATTCCAATTATCAAGAAACATCTTGAAACTTGTTGACATCTGAAAAACAAAGGAAACTTTTCTTTGGCCAACAAAACAATGAAGCTATAAATATTATGCTGAAGAATTAAAACTAAAACTTCCGCATAATGATGATAGCAAAAGATTCCTCATTCCTTGATGCTATTTTTTGCAGATAGTAATAACATCATTCTTAAAAGGAGTTAATTTTGGGGAATGAATAAATGCACTCTCTTTCTCCTGTGTGTCAATATTTACAAAGCTTGTCATGAAATTACTACAAAGAAAGTCCTGCTGAGTACACGAATACCTTTGTCCAACACCAAGGACTGGAGTGTCTACCTCATCATCTTCCTTTCTCCCAATCCCTGCCACTATCTGGGTGAAGTGGGAGAGGAAGACTGTGTTTTATTTTATATTAATTAACATTTATTTGGGGCGGTGTTGGGGATTGAACCAAGGGTCTTGTGCATGCAAAACACTCTACCTCTGAGCTACATCACCAGCCCTCTTCTACCACTTTAGACTCCATGGTCCATTATTTACTGTTGTCTTATCAAAATCCCTGAGGCCTTTGTCTCTTTTCCTTTTAACCTGCCTGCCCATCATAACCCCAGCCCCTGACAGCAAGCTGCCTCCTTCCCCACAGGTATATCTGCAAGCCAAGCCTGGAACAGCAGGGGCATTCTAGACCTCTAGGCTCATGGTTCTCAACTAAAGCAACCTATGGGACACTTATCTGTCCTTATCTCAGTTGACTCCTCAAGGACACTTAGCAGAACTGTCCATACTCTCCTTGGAAAAACTAATGCTTTTCTTGATGTTATTCCACACAGCGCCCCCAAGAGGATGAAAACTGTCCTAGTGGGGTACATAAATCCCGTCCTTTCCTGTATAAACCACGTGCATACACACAGTGGACCAAGAGACACACAGTATGTCCACAGCACTAACACTGCAGGGGGACGACCAGGGAACAAAGTGCTGGGAAGGCTCTGCAGGTGGTGACAACAAACCGAAGCCTGGACCACCACCACACGTGCGTCCCTGGCTCCGCACGAACCCATCTTCCCTTCCTCTTCTCCATGTTTTATTCCTCACATTATTAGGAAGATTTCTTTTCTTTTTCTTTTTTTTTAAAGAGAGAGTGAGAGAGGATAGAGAGAGAGAGAGAGAGAGAATTTTTAATATTAATATTTATTTTTTAGTTCTCGGCGGACACAACATACAAGTTGGTATGTGGTGCTGAGGATCGAACCCGGGCCGCACGCATGCCAGGCGAGCGCGCTACCGCTTGAGCCACATCCCCAGCCCCTGGGTTATGCTTTTTAATTAAGGAAAATAAAAGCCACTTTGGCACATGGCTCTAACAAAGTTACTCTAGAACCAAATTACAAAGAAAAGGGAGGAAGTTCCCTTTTCATCAGTTGTAATAAAATTCTTAGCATATGTGTAGATTGACATATATTTACTGTCTATTTTTTCTAAAATGCCCAGTTTGGAGCCAGGCACAGTGGTACATGGCTGTAATCCCAGCAGCCTGGAAGGCTGAGGCAGGAGGACTATGAGTTAAAAGGCAGTGACAGCAATTTAGCAAGGCTCTGAGCAACTTAGTGAGATCCTGTCTCAAAACAAAACA